AATCCCGCCCCGAGAGAAAGCGGCCTTCACCGCGGCGCCCCACTCACCACTGGAGACGAGGGCCGAGCGGGGGCGGCGAGCACACGGCCGGCGGGGATGGGACCTCCGGGAAGCAGCGCAGTGGCTCAGCATCCGAGAAGGAGACACTGGCAGCGATCGCAGGCAGCCATCACTCTGATGGCACCCGCACCGCCGCCCTTTATAGCCGGCGCGGGCCCACGTGACCCACTGCGAGCGCGCGCGCGCCGGCTTGGATCTCCGCCCCCGGTGACGCACGCCCGCCTACCTGGTGGGCCCAGCGGGAAAGCCCGACGACGGCGTTCATTGGCCGGTCGCGCTCCGGAGGCCACGCCCCCCCAGGCCGCTGATCTCGCGGGGAGGAGACGAGCTGCCCCGCCGGCGGGTTTCCACCTCCTCTGGCCTCGCAGCCTGGTGACAGCGGGCGTCGTCTGCGGGGTTGCAGAGGCCGCGATCTCTGTCGTTCCTGTCTTCTCCCGCGAGCCCCGATTTACCGAGCGGGCCGCACCCCAGGCCACACTTGGAGCGCATCTGGTACCCGCTGCGTCCGGGCGCCACATCTGGCCGGTGACGCTGCGGACCCGGGTCTTGCGCGTTGTCGCCCCCTGGGATGCCCCCGGTCAGAATGGCGCTGCCCCCCCGGGGGAGGGACGAGCTCACGGGTGGGCCTCGCTCTCCCGCAGTCACGCACCAAGTGGAGGCAGAGTGGACAGTGACGAGAACCGAGCGGCCCCCGAGAGGGAACGGGGGACGCCAGGACCCTCCGGGTCAGCGAGCCCCGCGGAAGCCGGTGATTTCTGCGCTGCGGCGGTGCGCGGGGTGGGGGCGGGGAGGACCCCGCTGCGGGGTCCTGTCCCTGCGCCTGTCCCTGCGCCTGTCCCTGCACTGCGTCACCGCGAGCCAGCCCCGGGCAGCCCATTGCGCCCTCCGGGACTTGACTTGTTTAGCGACCGGCGCCCGCCTTGTGGCGGGAATTCAGTGTCACCGTGTAGGGGTGTGACTAGAACTCGGGGCGTTCAGTGAATGCAAATTCCCGTTTTCACTTTTTCCCTGAATATACCTGTTTTCGGCTGTAGAAAAGAATGGAAGGACATGTTCTCTTTACATCCCAGCCCGGAAGATCAATTGACTTCTGGACCCTCCATGGTCTGTAGTGGGGTTTTCACGTTCATAAAATCGGCTCTGCACGTTGGGTGGCATTGCGTCGTACAACCAATCATGCCGTGGGAGGGTAAGGCCTGGTCTCTTGTCAGGGTTGGAGTGAGAGTAAAGAATTCCACCCAGAAAGACCGACCAGGCTGAGAATGATCTACAG